CGAGATGTTGGTCGGTTAGGCTGGAGGTAGAACAAGAGATGGGAGAAAGAATTCATAACAAAGATATAGTTTGGAGAAATAGTAAAGGGGTTTTATTGATGGACTGAATATGAGAGGTGAGGAAGCAAAAATAACTCTTGGGAGTTTGAACAGCGTAGCTATGTGTATAGTTGTATAATTTACAAATATGGGAAAACTGGAACAGGTAAGGGTTGAAAACTGGACATTCTCCTTTAGACATATTTAGTTTTTAAAATGTATTTATTTTTGAATAAGTAATATATCAGGTATTTCAAAAATAAGAAAAGAAATAAATTATACAATGAGAAATCTCCTTGCCATCTCAGTCCTCCATATGTCCATTTCTCTCTATACCTCACAACAGACAGCTAATATCAATTTCTGTTGTATCCTTCAAGAAATCAATTTGTATTTAGCAGCAAACATGAAAATAAATTCTTGATTATATCAAAAGGAACCACTATTTCAAACAAGATGTAAATGTTTCCATCACTCCAGAAAATTGCTTTATGATCCTTGTCATCCTCCCCCGTGCAACCACCACCATAGTGAACAACCACTTTCTAATTTCTGACATCATAGATTAGTTTTGCTTTTCCTTGGATTTTATAAAAATAGAATCATATGACATATATTCTATGTTATCTGGCTTTTTAAGTCAGCATTACAATTTTGAGGTTCAAGCATGTTGCATTTGGGTTGTTTCAGATCTTAGGCTATGAATAATTTTTCCATAACATTCTAATATAAGTTATTTTGTGGATACATGTTTTCATTTCTCTTGGCTAAACACTTATATAGGACTACTGGATCTTTACAAATCCCTGAATTGCCATTCAGTTTCCCAAATTGGTTAAACTATCTTAAATTTCCAATAGCAATGTGTGAGAAATCAAGTTACTCTAACATCTCACCAACATTTGGTATTGTGTGTTAAAGACACCTTTTATTTTCTGTATTTCTGATGATTTGACACCTTGGGGCTTTGCTAACTCTGAGACTGTGGCTTCCAGAGCTAGCCACTTCCTAGAGATAGTGAATGACTCACAGGCAAACTGACCTTTCTTATGCAAACTAACCAATCCAGAGCCCATACTCTAACCATCTCCTTTATCAGGCTCTCACAGTTCTGGTCCATTGACCAGAAAGTGCTCACAAGTGCTGCCACAACTGAGTCATTTACATAAAAGTATCTAGTATCCAGGTTCTTATATGCTCCTGGGGGCACTTGATAAACCACTCTTTCTTTTCCTTTTGAAGTTTACTGAGGCAAATTTATGCCTGTTCTCCAGAGTAGTAGGAGAGTGCACTGCCTGGTCATATGATCATATGTCTTGGGCCATTTCCCAGATGACTAATGATGTTGTGCATCTTTGTATGAGCTTATCAATCTTTTGTATATCTTCTTTTCTGAAGCGTCTTTTTAAATCTTTTACCTATTTTTTACTTGGAGAGAGAGAGAGATTAAGAGAGAGAGAGAGATGAACAGCAAATTTCCCCCCCAGTGTGTGATTTGCTTATTAATTTCATAATGATATATTTTGATGAGCAGTAATTTTTAATTTTTTTGAGGTTTATCACTTTTTATGATTACAGCTTCTTGTGTGCTGTTTCAGAAATCATACTTTTCTACGTTCTCTTCTAAAAGCTTTATATTTCATACTATATTTAGATCTATGTCCCAACTCAGATTAATTTAGTGTGTACAGTGAGATACAGATCTAAGTTCATTATTTTCCATACAAGTATTCAGTTTTTCTCACATCATCTGTTTAAAACTTTCCCAATGAATTCTATTGGTATCTTTGACTAATGAATTTGCCATCTGTGCAATTCTGTTCTTGCACACCCTATTTTGTTCCATCGATCTATTTGTCTATCCTTACATCAATTCTACACTCTCTTGGTTATTGTAGCTTTATAATAAGTCTTGAAACCAGGTAGTAGAAGTTCTTTAACTTTCTTTTTCTTCTTCATTTGTTATTCTACATCAGATGAAACCAGTCTTACACTTATGAAAACACAATTATTTAAAACCAAAAATATTATATTGCCTGAAATACATTGAGTATTGAAAAAAATTTGGCTCAGAATCATCTGAAACATGACATAGTAAAACAATAGAACTTTATACACAAAGAAAAAAATCTTATGGCCCTCCAAACAAACAAACAAAAATTACCTACCAAAGATTTTTCCTTTGCAGGTCAACATCAGACTTCTTTCAATAGCAACACAGAAAGTTAAAAAAAAAAAAAAAAGGTGAACAAACATTTTCAAAGACCTTAAAGAAAATATACTACAAGGATTTTATATTAAGTCAAACTATCTGTCAAGTCTCAAGATACTTTTAAACATGCACTAAGCCTGAAACTCAGGCTTATGAGCTTTTCCTGTGTAATGTATGACAGGACACATTTCTTCCAAACAGGAGAAGACTGAGGAATCTTTAGCAAAAGGATAAAATCAGGACTGCAGGGTCGTTCTCAGTAGGGAAGGAAAAGAATGGGATGAAGGGGCACATAGCACACTCCAAAGGTAATGATAATACCCTTTTTTAAAAAAAAAAAAAAAAAAAAAAAAAAAGGGTGATGATAGGTGGAGCCAACCCTGGTGGCCTAGTGGTTAAGTTTGTCACACTGCGCTTCAGCGGCTCAGGTTCACTTCCTGGGCACAGATCTACACTGCTCTACTGGCAGCCATGCTGTGCTGGCAGCCCACATACTAAAACATAGAAGAACATTAGCAGGGATATTAGTTCAGGGTGACTCTTCCTCAGCAAAAAGAAAAAAAAATGGGATGATAGATATGCCTGTGTTTATATTATTATAATTTCTATGCCTGTCATATCTCTTCAATAAATAATGACTTTACAAATAAGGAAAAAAGTACTATAACAAGATTTTATTTAGGGGAGTAAAATGGTGGGAGAAAACATAGTAGTTGTTTCATCTGTGATTTCTGGATTCAAAACATATTATTAAAGCTACAATTAAATAATTGAACTATAGGCAGCAGAAACAGTAGACAGGTAAAATTAAGAAAGATAATACTTTTAATCACTACAATCTGGGTTGAAAAAGAGGAAAGAAAGTAAATAGTGATTTTATCATTGTTCATAATATGAACCTAATAATTATTACCTAAAAATTCCAGAAGTGATTTTATTGAATAAGATATAAATATATATCCTAGAAATGTGCTGTCTAATGTGACAGCCACCAGCCAAATGTGACTATTGAGCCCTTAAACTGAGGAAATGAATTTTGCTTTATTAATTAATTAAAATATAAAAAATCACATGTGGCCACTGTACTGGATAGCACAGCTCTAGAATAGTACAGGAACCTTAACTCATTTAACTTAAATAATATTCTTTCTAATTTATTTGCTATTTTTCATTTTAACATTTTTCTCTTTTCAGTGTTCTGGAGAGTTACCCAAACCTGCTAGAGACTTTGCATAGCAAGAAATAAATTTTTGATCTGTAAAACCAATGAAATATTGGTGTTATTTCTGTGGCATAATCTATCAAAACTGATAACCAGCCGAAGTTAAAAGTAGATCAATATCCTTACCATATTCTTGAAAATCATAAAGACTTTAGACTGGCCCTGAGCTAACATCCATACCCATCTTCCTCTACTTTATACGTGGGACCCCTACCAAAGCATGGCTTTTGCCAAGCAGTGCCATGTCTGCATCCGGGATCCAAACCAGCGAACCCCAGGCCACCGAGAAGCAGAATGTGCAAATTTAACCACTGGGCCACCGGGCCAGCCCCTACACTAACTCTTGACTTGTAGAAATGGTATTTTTCTGTATTTTAGTTCTTACTTTTCCCAAACTTCAGAGGCTTGTTTGTTGTGGCTGGTTAACACAGTAGGTGTTTATTTAGATTTACCCACATAGTTGCCATTCTTTTTCTCTCTTGTTTCACATGTCTCAGCTGGGATCACTTTCTTATTGTTTCAAGCATATCCTTTGACATTTCTCCTAGTTGATTGTCTGCTGGTAGCAAACTTTGTCTCTGATCTTTGGAGGACGTTTTTATTTTATTTTCACAGTGCTGATGATTGTTTTCTTTCCGCACATTGATTACAATTCTTCCTTGGTTTACATCTCTGCTGTTAAAGAAGCAAACTGTGACCCTAACTGCCCTTCACTGGAAAGTGATCTCTGCTTTTCTCTTCAGAAACTTTCAACATTCGCTCAGTTGTCTTAAACAATCTGCTCTTTCATTATGATAAGTCTCAATATGCATTTAAAAAAAAATTATTCTATTAATATTTTGGTGGGAATCCTGAGTGGGAAGATTAGTGTCTTTCATTAGTTTTGAAAACTTCAGCATTATCTCTTCAAATATTGCCACTGTCACATTTTGTCTATCTCTTCCTTCTGAAACTCTGAGAAGATATGTTCGAAGTTTTCATTCAGTTCTCAATGTCTCTTAACCTCTCTTTCATCCTTTCTGTCCCATTTTGTCTCTGCCCTGAATTGCTGACAATTTCCTCAGCTCTATATTCTAGGTTATTATTTCTTTCTGGGTATGTCTAACATGCACTTAAACACATCTATTGAACTTTAACCTGAATCTGAAGGTCTCATTTTTTCTTATAATTTTCCTGTTTTATAGTGTCTTCCTTATTCATATTTCCAACACATTTTCTTTTTAAGATTGGCACCTGAGTTAACCACTGTTGCCAATCTTTTTTTTTCTTTTTTTCTCCCCAAATCCCCCCAGTACATAGTTGTATATTTTAGTTGCAGGTCCTTCTAGTTGTGGCATGTGGGATGCCACCTCAGCATGGCCTGATGAGCAGTGCCAGGTCCTCACCCAGGATCTGAACTGGTAAAACCCTGGGCTGCCACAGCAGAGCATGCAAACTTAACCACTCGGCCCGGGGGCTGGACCCCCAATCCATTTTTTATTTTTTCCAAAAATACTAAATGTTATTAATTTATTTTCTGTAGTTCTTTTGTGGTTTTGATTCTTCTTTCTGTTGTTCTTCTGATTCTCAATCACAGTGCCTTGCTTTCTTTTGTGTTCACTGATGTTTGACTGTAAAGCTCTTACTTCATCAAAGTTTATCTGCATTTTGAGTCCAGGAATAAAGGCAAGATTCTCCATAAGATATTTGCGCTTCCTTCTATGAGAGGCATTATGAGTCTGGAACCAGAAACTTTGAACAAAATTATCAGTTAACAGTGATTCAGACTACTCAATACTATAAAATCAAATTCCAAAAGTATGGGTGAGTCCACTTATGATTCATAATCTTTTTTCCTTTTTAGCCTTTTGGATGGTGAGTTTTTCAAAAGTCTATTTCACTACTACCCTGAGAATATATCCTTTGAAACCTCAGCTTGTTGTGAAATACAGCCTTAGGTGAGCCCTGGGCTTCGTGTCCCCGCTACCACCACTCGTGACCTTGAAAACAGAACACAAGTCCTCACAGTAAAAGCTGACCTCTATTCACCATTAATTTCTCTGGGTTCCCAATTTCATTTGATTTTCGGATTTTCAATATTCTACACCATCTTCTTTTTTCTTTTTTCTTTTTTTCTGCCAGCTCATTGAAGTGTTTCAAAAGATGTTTATCTAACATGTGAATTTGCTTTTAGTGAGAGCTCAGTAAAGCTATCTAATGTGCCCCCAGTAGGAAATGGAGTGCAACTCTATCGTTTCTGCATTGTCGAGGCGTGTAGCATTTCATAATTTTCAGTCATGCAAACCCACATTAGTTTCAGAATTAGATATAGTTTAGTACATTTAATATTCAGTACTGATCCTTTGGTTCTAATTTCTTGGCCTTCACATGATTGACAGAAATTTGTTCTGACAGTTTTTTCAAAAGTTTCCTGGAAACATTCCTAAATTTTTATTTAATGTTTACAATTTTTTGTAGCCTTTTAATTTAAACGCAAGTTTTGCCGGATATAAAATCTGAGGTTTACACTAACTTGTCTGAAGAATTTTGCAGTTGTTATTCCACCTCACCTCTGTTAACTTACTGAGAGTTAATTATCTTGTGTAGCATGACAGGCAAACTGGCCTGCTTCCAATGGAGCTGGGTGGGTGAGACCTCACAGACTTTGTTAAAGGAAAACCCTAACCCCTGGGGAAAAAGAGAAGGCCAGTAGTATTAGTAATATTAGGGGGGTTTTCCTTATATGTTCACGTATTTTTAATTTTTAGGAAACATACTATTTCAGTAATTAAGGAAAAAACAAGAAAATGTTATTTTTGTTTGGATAATAAATATGTTTTACCAGATATAATGGTAAAGTCCATTTTGGTAATAGTGAAATTAGCAAAAAGCTATGAGATAGGTGGAACTTGGGTTCTAAAATCTTAGGATAGTCAGTGAATAATCGAAAGTATGATCACTATCTGGAGCTAAAGATATTAACTCGCTCAATACAGATATTGCTGATATTGAAAATCGAAGCTCAGCAGCAGTTGTGGAAGAAGACAGAAATGGGAGAGACTAAAAGACAAAAAAAGATTAAAGGATGTTTAGAAGTAATGGAGAGGAAAGAGGGAAGAGTGACATGGGGAGAAGAAGTCTAACACATAACAGAGGTTCTTGACTTATTTTGAGGCAGCACTGCATGTGAAAAGATTATGTATGAGATTAATACCTATTTATCCTACACTGGCCTGCATTATATCCCTGCTCATTGTGTAAGGTAGGATTTCAAAATCTCAGTACTACTAACATTTTGGGCTAGATAATTTGTGGGGGGTAGCTGGGGCATGTTAAGCAGCATCCCTGGCTTCTACATATGAGATGCCAATAACACTCCCCGGTTGTGACCATGGAAAACGTCACCAGACATTGTCAAATGTCCCCCGGAGGCTGAAATTGCCCCCAGTTGAGAACCACTGATCTAGCCTTTATACCAGTCGTGTCCTCCATGAATCAAGCTAGGTCACTGTTTACCAGTACGCCAAAGTTTCCTATTCTCTAGCAAAATTAATTCCAGATAGTATTTCTAATTAAGCAACTCTTCATTACACTACTATTTTTGGAGTTTTTCTTCTTCTTCTTAGCTTCAATACTTTCAACAAATATCCTTCTGTACTAGCAATATAGTGGTGTTTGAAGAGCATACTTAGTCAGTAGTCTCTTTCCTAAGAATATTAATCTTAGTTAAATGAAGGATAAGTGACAAAGTAAATAGAAGTCTGGCTGGTTCAGATACAAAAAACAGTAAGATAACATAAAATCTAGAAACATAGATTTGATGATGAGTTATCATCATTTTTTATATATATGTATATCTTTTGGATGTTAGATTTTTGTTTATGCTCTGTTGTAAAATATTAAAGAAGTTTACAGTTTTATTCATTATCAGGTAATGAGAAGTCAACTCAAAATTCATGAATCATAATTTCAATCAGTGTCTTTGGGTTCTTAGAAGAGAAGTCACCATAACATTGAAGATGAAAGAGGATCATCATAAGGAAAAATTCCCAAAGCAAAGAGCAAACTTTATGCTCCATCATTCCATCCTGTGGACCTGAGGTGAACTGGGTCTGTCGCAAATTACCTGCTCATTTAATAAATAGAATATAAATAAAGAGCAACCTCGGGCTTGTTTTTACCATTCACTCACATATATTCATTCCTGATGCTGACAGGAGTCTACCTCCTTCGAAGTCTAGTCATATTATGTTATCAAATTGAACATAAGACTAAAGCTCAAAGCACTCAAAGTTCTCTTCCCCTTTGATGGATAGACTCCCTAATTTTGAAATTGAAAAGTTAACTTAAGTAAATAAATTTGTATGAACTCAAATATTCTAATTTATCTTTTACATTCTGAAGCCTAGTCAGTAATTGGATTCTTAGCGTCAAGGAATAGTAAACCGATCACTAATAAATAATTCCCCAGAGGATTACGGGAACTAATACATCTAGGTCTCTTCCATATGTATTAAAAAAGTGATTTAATGGGGCAAAAATCTAAATTATAGTATTAACAAAAGTAGCACCCTACTAATTTTATTTTAACATGAGAGGCAGAATTAGCAAGTACAGAAAACACACAAAAATGGCAAAGGATATAATAGTCTTGTAAAAATCACACAGCTAGATGTCTTGCAATCCCAGTGACCTTAGAATCCCTTTCCTCCAAGTCTGCTTTCACTCTGGAGGAAGGAAGTACAGACTGGCTATAAAAATCACCAGTTGACTGGAGACTTCCTCTGGAAGAGAGGGGTCTTATGCAAAGTACACTCCGCTTTGAAGTCATAAAAATTGTTTCCCGGATGTCCCAAAATCTTAAGTTCTGTCACCAACACTGTTAAGTGACTACCACCTGAAATACGAGTTGGAACAGCTTGTATTAATGAATCCTCAGTTTCCATCATCACCTCTGGGAAGAGGAAGAGATAAAGAACAAAATAATCTATTTTCCCAGAACCAGGAAGATAGTTTACCAAATGCCATCCCACTGAGCTAAGGTTGAAACATGACAACAATATCTAATTTGGTCACTTGAAGCTACTCACGTTCATATGCTGGCCACTAACTTCTGCCTATTCACAGTGGACACATCTCCCAGGTCTTATTTATTTTAGCACTTCTCAACATACAGTCTCCTGACAGTCAAAGACTCTCCAGAATAGTCGCTCAATAAATGATTGGTGAAAATGTAGTTTTAGCAAATCATTATTATATCTTAAATCCTAATAGTCATCTGCCAGAAATTTCAGAAAGGGTGTAGGTAAATTTTTTTTCCATTTAAATTTCTTTGTTTTTTCACCAAATAGAGGAAAAACTTAGCGGGATTTTAAGAACTCAGACAAAAGGAGGTAGTGACAGTAGCATTATTACCTCTGCAAATGCTTCCTACTTTAGGACAATGACCCTCAGACTATAGAATGTGCCACATATCTTTCACTTCTCTTTACATAAAATATATCTGTTGACCAACTTCCTCATGGCAGTCTTTACTTCCTTGTTTCGCAATGTGTAGATGATAGGATTAAGTAAAGGGAATATCACAGTATGGAACACAGACACCACTTTATCGAGGGAAAAAGAGTCAAATGGGCGAGCATAAATATAGATGGATGGCCCAAACATTAGCACCACAATAGTGATGTGAGAATAGCAGGTGGACATGGCCCGGCCAGTACTCTCACTTGAGCCTGAGTGTTTCTTGAGCATGGCCAGGAGGAAGGCATACGACATTAGGAGAGCAATGAAACACACCACAGAGATCAGACCACTGCTAAAGATCATCACTAACTCCTCCGGGAAGGTATTGGCACAGGCAATCCGGACAACCTGCGTGATGTCACAGAAGTAACTGTCTAACTCATTGGGCCCACAAAAGGGAAGTCGAACAATGAGAGCCACCTGTATTATAGAATGAATGAAGCCCCCCATCCAGGCGAGAGCCACCAGAATACAGCAGAGGCATCGATTCATGATGGTACCATAGTGGAGGGGGCGGCAGATAGCAGCATAGCGGTCAAAGGCCATTACTGTGAGCAGGAACATCTCTGAGGCCCCAACAAAGTGCAGGAAGAAGAGTTGTGCAATGCACCCGCCAAAGGAAATTATCTTCCTTTCCACAAAGAAGTCTACAAGCATTTTAGGGGCTGTGATGGAGGAGTACCAAATGTCAAGGAAGGCCAAGTTAGCCAACAGGAAATACATGGGTGAGGTCAGATGGGGGTCAAGCCTGATAGCGCAAATAATAAGAATATTTCCTGGAAGAATGAACAAATAGAAAGATAGAAATATAACAAATAGGACTAGTTGCACCTCCCGAGTCTGGGCTAAGCCCGTGAGAACAAATTCTGTCACCCTGGTGTAATTTGCAGGTTCCATTTCTTCGCTTTTTTTCATAATATGTCTATGAAAAATAAAGAAATTATAATTACTCCAAATAGCATTTAACTAGAGTTATATTACAGCTTTCAAAATCATCAGATGTTCTCTGTCATTAAGAGATTTCATTTTACATTTCATAAACCCAGATAGGGAAAGAGCAAGTGACCTGAAAATTAGAAACATTGAAACCATATGAAGTGTGTCAAATATTTGAAACCAAAATCTCAACTTGTTAAGGTTATTAATTTCTATTTTTTATGAAACTCAGCAATGCACTAATCCTTCCCCAAACATCGACCTTAGTAAGCAATATGTGCAGCTTCTTCTGAGTTTAGCCAGATTTTAGGATGGTGATAAGAGATGCAGCCTGTTCTTTCTAGATTGTTTTGTTGTTGAGAAATCTAGCCAGTTTGGAAACTTAGGCTTACAGTCTAATATCAAGTATGCTGATCTGGCAGTATTTTAGTTTTCATCTATCAGAGATCCCAGGGCTTCATGTGTAGTGAACGGACATTTTTTCCTTAACGAAAGTCTATACAGCTTAATACTTGGTAATAGGTAAGCAGCCACAATATACAACAATGCAAGGCCCTATATGAAAATTCTTCTGGCTGTAACCAGACCCCATTACTCTACTGGCCATGCATTTTGCCACTGTTTCAGGAAGGTAAGAAGAAGATGTAGTGATCTGACAAATGAGTATGCTTGCCAGCCACCATCCAAGCTGACCCACTCTGCAATTTCAAGGTGACAGTAGGAATAAGACTATCCCTAAAATTTTGCTTAAGGTCTAGTACTGAACCTAATACCACTAGATAGAATAAAACTCATCAAATAAAAATAAGATCATCATTCACTTTACCAAATATGCTTCCTCTCTTAAGTAAGGTAAAACTTCCACACCAAAGTAAGCATTTCTTGTAACCAACAGCCAGTACTAAAGGGTTGCTTCTGTTCTACTGATGTGCTATTTTATAATATTGCCTCTCCTCAGGAGATAAGCACAGAAAAACAAAGTTAAGGTTCTATAAAACCAAATAGATGTGACAATGTCCAGGTAGTAAAGCTTAGGTATACTATTGACTGAAGAAATCCAATGTTTCTTTCTTGAACTTACTGACTCAATTTGTGCATAATTTTAACCAAACACAGATATCTAACATCCAAATATAACATGTTGTAGAAAGCACTGTATTATAAAGAAGGGATGGCTCGCTACAAGTAAATACACTGGGAAAAAACTAGTGTTTGCCAGGAATCTGATTCAAGAGGCAGAAAAACAGAAACACTTAGAAAACTCAATATTGTGGAAGTATTTGGCAAAAGGGTAAATATTCCCAACCCCTGAATAGCCCAGTGTGGGCCTCAGTGAGTTAATTAACTATCTTTAGAGATAGGGAAATTTAAAATTTGGTTTAGAAAGATTTTAATAAAAAGTAAGATAAAATTGCCAGTTTTCAATCTTCAACTTTCTTAGTAACGTAGCTATCCAGAATGACATACTTCCTAGGATCCCAGAAAGCAAGGTTTTACTCTTCTTACCTGGAGAAGTGCCCCATCGGCTCCATGACTAAAAACACAGCAAGTATGTAATTGCAAAATCACAGCATTCTGCTTCTTTACTTTCACTCATGTGTAAACTCTGAGTTTCCAGCAATCAAACATATCTCTACCAAAAGCATAGGGAACACTATGATTACTCAGTTAATTTGGATATTTTTTGAACAGATGGAAGTGATTAGGTTACTTGTTCTTAATAAAATAATTGTCCTCTTGTTACTGAAAGGAGATGAATATTTCAATGCAGTAAATACTACTACAAGGCACTAAGCTTTTTTTATTTTCATGGTGGATACTGATAGGATAATTCTGATTATTGTCACAAAGATCACTCAGTCCTCCTGTGTCTCATTCTGTATTCATCCCATCAAAGAGGAAGAGAAAATGGCACTCATCTAGAAAGAAAGAATCTAGGTGAATGTGTGTTGAGGTCTTAGAAGAAACATATACTTCAGATATTAAGGAATTGAAAGAATCATTTTACCATAAAAAGTGTCAAAGTGGTTTACTTCTGTACCTCCATGTCCAAGATATGACATAAAATTAAAAACTAATGAAGTATTCTTCCATTAAGAACCATAACTTACCTGATTTATTCATTAGAAAAAAAATACAGAGCATCCATCCCTCCTCACCCCTTGATGAATGCCTCTTTCCTCCACTCCTCACAACCATTAAATTGAAAAGGGACATATTACAGGAGCATCCCATTCCAATAGTCAAGTGGCCAACAAAGCTCCCTATTCCCCAAGCCAACAAGACTCAGCCACTACTCATCTCTCACACACACACACACGGCACTAAACCATTCCACTTCCTCAATGAAGGACCAACCAACACATATATCCCATACATGAACATGACCATGGCCTGAAATACCATAAAACCCACAACAAATATGACCCTTGCCAGCATTTGTGATTTAATGATTGTCAAAATAGAAGTTTACACATGGCATTGAAAGCACTATCCCAAAATATATAGCTTCTGTATCACTTCTATAAATTATTCATTGTTTATTCAACAATATTTAGGGAGAATGTACTATTTGCTGACTGCTGAGAAAACAAGGAACAAGGAAGACTCAGTTTCTGTCTCACTGAAATTCTATTTTAGAAATATAGACAGACAATAAATAAGTAAACAAACAATAAGTAAATTAATGGAATATAAATAAGTCAATGAAATAATTACCACTATTGACGACAGACAAGCATGAAATAAAAAGGGAATTATGATAGAGAATAAATGGTGGCGGCGTGTGGTGGTGATGGCTTTTTTAGAAAAGCATCTTTGAATTGGTGACATTTCAACTAACTTTGAAAGTCAGAAGAAAAGTATCTTAGGAATAGAGAACAGTAAATACAAAGACATGTGGCAGGGAAGAGTTCCTAGGAAGAAGACCTGTGACTGATGGAGGCACAATAACAAAATCAAGAGATAGTCACAGACCAAGTAACGTAGAAAGCAATAAGAAAATTGGATTTACAACAATTCAAAATATTTTAGAATAAAACCTAGAGAATAGCTTAACATGATTTGAAATTTAGAAATATCACCCTGGTTGCTACGTCAATAAATTCAAGTGGGACTACAGGGGAAAAAATGATGGGACAAACTGAAGATAAGCAACTGCTATTTAGAGAAATAAATTGTTTGTTTAGAAAATACTTAGGAGATGTAATTGGCAGGATTTTACATTGAATTTTACGTTGTATTGTCATACTACCAAAGTCAGATGGAATTTGAGCACCATAATGGCAAGCTTTTAAAAAATTTGTCTTTATATAAATGAGATTCTCTGCCTAAAATGAGCTTCATCCAGTGCATTCTAGGTCCTTAAATAAAATCTGACTGAATCTACCATAAATATTTGGAATGCCCTGTCACACTCTAAGAAAAGCTTGGGATTGTGTCAAAATCCAGAGCAAGGAATTATGTTTGTGGGGAATTCTTGGGGGAGATAAGCCATCCACGGAGACTGAGTTAGGACATTTCTTCCCAAGGCTGCCATTTGGAAGGGGACATCTATTCAAAACTAGTGCTTACCCTTAGAGCAGCTGGATCAGTTGGTCAAGAGAGCTTTCTTTCATCCTGCATTCACTCACCTACACCTCCCAAGTTTCTAGGTGCAAGGCAGCTCCTCTTTTGTTTCCTTGCTATTTTTTAAATAAAAATTGTATATATTGAAGGTGTTCAACCTGATGATTTTATGTATATATGTGTATATATATACACATAGTGAAATGATTACTACCATCAAGCTAATTAATGTATCATCTCTTCACATAATTATTTTTTTCTGTGATAAGAGCACTTGAAATCTACTCTCAGCAAATTTCCAGTATTCAGTATATTATTATTGACTATAGTCATCATTCTTATGTTAGATATCTAGAGTTATTCATTTATCCTACATAATTGCAACTTTGTACATTTTCACCAGCATCTCCTTATTTCCCCCACCTCCTTGACACTAGTAACCACCATTCTACTCTCAAATGAACAAAGAAATTGTGATATATATTTATAATGGAATATTATTCAACCTTCAAAAAGAAGGAGATCTTGTCATTTGCAACAATATGAATGAATTGGAGGACATCATACTAAGTGAAATAAGGCAGACAAAGAGAAAAATACTGCATGAGCTTACTTATATATGGAATCTAAAAAAGTCTCGTCCTCTTTCAACAACATCTAGTGAATTCCCATTTTGTACTTAATCTGTAGGGATGTAGTATCTGGAGGATGACTATAGAGATACCAAGTACAAAGACCCTCCTTGTAGGTGAGTGAACTGTGAACTCTACTCAAGGGAACCAATGCTTTGGGGAAAAACAAGAATCTGTGCATAAATTCTTCCTTACTAACAATGCAGTGTTCATCCATGTCTAGCCAAGCTCTCAGTAATCACAGATAGAGTAATTGTCTTGCCAATTTGAGAAATTTAAGGAGGCTGTCAAGTAGATCCTGAAAGAGTAAAAGATTAAATGACTTAACAGATGCTGGGTTACACTCATACAAGACGCTTTCAAAAAAAATGCTATCATCCATAAACATTGTCCGTTCTCTTTCCTTAGATGAAGATGTGAATGAAGAAGCCAGCATCTCATAGAGGAGAAGTCACTCATCCTAGCCGTCACTAACAACCAAAAAACTCACAACTGAAAGAAATGTTTTCAGAATCTCCAATAATTTCAGAATGAAGGATTAAGCTGAAACTCACAGACTGGAAAAATGGAAGGAAAGCTATATTGATGAAAGCGAAGAAAGCTGTAAAAGAAAAAGGAAGTTATTAGTCTAGTAGTTCTTCTGAGGACAAAAACAGTCCATCTTTATGGGTTACATTGTCACCAGTGGGATATTCATTTATCAAAAGGCAAAAATTAATTTTATAAAACAAAAAAAGTGTTTATAGATTCAAGTGATGATTTATTGAAAACGCTTCCTCAGAGAAGAAAGGCACTTTAGCCTTTCAACTCCGCTGCTCATGGGAATAAAGGTGAAGGCTGTTAGTAGAGGTTCAGCCTTACCGACCTGTGGGAAAGAGCAAAGGAAACACTGAGAAATGGGCACTGAGGTCAGGAAGGAGAGGGAGCTTGTGGGTAAGTACAGCAGGAAGGTACTAGATTTTTAGAAAATAAAGATACATGACATTTATTTTTAGAGAATATTCTCCCTCAGTAAGATCTCTATTAGAGCACATTATTTAAAAAAAGGTATTTTTATAACAGTGGGAGAAGGAATCACACAAACAAGTCGTTATTTGAAGGCTTTTATCTTTACAACTCATAAATGTTGCATACAGACATACACATACATTATATTAAAAAAAATCTCTAAAATCTTCACAAATAATTGAATTTTAGAAAGTGTAGGGTACTTATCTGATGTGTACTCCAGTTTGAGGGCAGCTATAGAGAGCATTGAGTGAGAATTAAGATACTTGGATTCTCATCATAGCCCCACCACCAAAACCTGTGTGATGTTGGGAAGTTCATTCAACCTCCCTCTACCTCAGTTTTTTCCTAGCAATATAAGAGATTTTAACTACAATTTAAGGAATATTCTATTTCTATAATTCCAGGATTCTATGAAAATAAAAGTTGAGTAAGAGTAAAGGTCCCAGAAAGGCAAATTAAGAACAAAGTTGGTGACAATGTGAAGGAACAATGATATAATCAGCATTGTGGGTATATACAACACATAAAATAAATAATTTGAATTGATTTTTCTATTCTTAAGATACCAAGCATACCTATCTTATTCTGTAAGATAATGAGGAAGTAGTGTACAAAAACATCTTCACCATATTGATGGGTATGTGGAGACAAGGGACTTTGAGTCTCATAAATAAACCAGTTGCAGAAAATGCCAAGATGTAGTAATTATCTTGATTTCCTGCATACTTTGCTGCCCACAGTAAACTAGGCAGGAAGAAAGCCTTAGAATCAGAGAAGGGCTGATCTCAATATGACAGTGCTTTGAAAATCATTTGCTGCTTGAGTATTTCTGGTATAACAGACTTAGATACGGAGTGTGAGCACCTTGGTTCTAACCAAAGCTGACCACTTACTAGTTGTGTGATCCTGAGCAACTTACTTCTCTCTGCCTCAATGTGCCACATCAGAGCAATGGAGATAATAGCACCTACTTCCTAAGTATTATTGTAAGGATTAACGAGCTAAACCATGTAAGCTCAGAAAAATACCTGGCACATGGCTCACATTTATTTAAATTATAATAATAATTGTTATTATTGTTATTATCATTACCGTCCCCTGAAAAATAGCAAGTTTGATAGAGAAATTATCATCCCAATATATGATTTCCAAAATATTACCCTTTACTGTCTGTTTGTACTTATGTCCACATTATTGCCAACTTCTATCCTTGGATCTGGCAGACTAAAAACAAGTCTAAGAAATAATTTGAAGAGGAGGACAAGAACATCTGACTTCTAAACACTACCACCTCTTCCCACTTTTCCCAGACCATAGTCCTCTGTAACTACTGATAAATCACTATTAGTAAATCCCCCAGAAATTCTCAGAAGGCCTCCTTTCAAAATGCTGAAATTTTGTATGAATAATTTCTAAAAAGCACCATAGAATTTTGGGCTCCCATAGTAGTCTTCTGTTCACATCTCCAACAAAAACTTTACTCATTTTATTATAATTTTTCAGTTTATGTTTTGATCAAAATATAGCAGAAACACTGAGCCCCTTGAGATCATGAAGAATGTCTCACTTATATATCTAGTGCCTAAGATAGCTCCTAGCACACTATGGTCCTCAATATATGTTTGTTGAATAAATGAATGAATGCATAATTAAATGGATTCTTAAATGGATAAATTAATTAACTGAGGACTTTGTAAAAAAAAGTTGTCAAATAGTTCCAAATTTAATTGTTTTATTAATTCATTTATTGTTTTCTGATTCTGCTTCATGATTCCTGACTTTTTTCCTGGGATCCTCTTTTAAAACATCCATTCTATCCACATTAATTTCAAACAAGAGTCTCTTTGCTTTTAAGTTTCTTTTTTTCCTTCATTTCCAAAGTTATTGCTACTACCAACTCCAATCCCTTCAAAATTAAACATCTAAAGCTCCATCTCCCCCATCTTCTTCACAATGGCCAAACTGAAGAACCATCATAAGTCAGATTTTCCCTGACTTCATTTCAGGGGTAACAGGATTCAAATTTTGGAAGGTTATTTTAATGATTTGGCATTCTATGAAAACCCATAAAAATAAGAACGAGTTCCTCTTTTTTGGATTGTTTAAGAATGGTTCATCTGGTAAGTATGAGATGATCAAGGTGTCTTCTCATTGCCCTGCTCAGTCTTGGGTTTAAAATGCCTTAGTGGTGGTGATGAAGCAAAAGAAAAAATAGTTTGTTCACTAACTCGAAGGTTAAGAACGGTTCTATATAATCTCCACTTTTTCCCTAAGATTTTTCCTTACTTGAGTTTTCTTATTCTTATCACTATTCTCTGAGTATTTTACATAGTTGTTCCCATCATTATATCCATCCTATTGTCTCAAAAATAGAGTGGTTTATGTAAATATTATAACACCATTCTTCCACCTACCACTTACTATACCAGTCTTGGTGTAGTCAGGG